ATGTGTGTAGACGATATAACACACCATTGGCAAACCTAAAGCGGACTTGGCATGTACCCTAGACACAACAACACAGTGATATCATAATGAGGTATAATAAATAATAAATTATTCCTCTACCAGAAGTCAGAAATTTGGTGGAAAAGAAAATTCGTTTATTCAAGGTAAATTGAAAAATCTGCAAAAAAAAACTTATAAAAATTATAAAAACTATAATTAAAGTGTTAGGGTCCGATCACCCGCTCGATTTGAAGAGCGGATACATGCAGCAGTAAGAAGGTGGTGACCGACATACAGCACAATCATCCTGTAGAGGACTGTTCGCTAGGACAGGCACTTGATTAACTCACTTGCCGAATCGGATTGTCTTAGATCAGGTAACCTGCATCACCAAACCCACGTCAGAAAAACGTGTAAGGTGCTTGTTAATTCTGATGCTGAGCAGGAAACCAAATTTGATTTACGACAAAAAACGTAAAAAATCAAAGAAGAAATGCTGCCCACAAAGTAACATGAAAAAGACTGTGAAGATCAAGACAATGGTAGATGCGAAGCAAGACGGCTGGAATAAGTGGCAATTTCCGACGAAGATCCATTACAAGATGCAGCAGATATACTACCGTTGGAGTAGAAGCAAATAGAAAGAATCAATCTAAATGAATGGGTGAGAAACTGCAGATACTGGAAAAGTGTTGGTAGCACTAACAAGTATTAAATGACAAAACAGGAGAAATGCTCGCTACTGGGTTAAGATATTATGCTGATAAGAGAAAGCAGACCATCAAGATTCCACCGGTCGAGAGAGTCAAATTCACCAATGCGAAAAATTAGAAAGTGAAGTGGTGAACTGGAAGATATCAAGCGACATGAAGACCTGTGACAAATTGAATAATTTTTGAAGCTCACTAACTTGTCCTTCAAGATATGAGATATGGAATCTACTTCGCATATCAGCCAAATTGACAACACTGGGGACGTGGACAGCGCGGAGGTCAAATTCATGGTGAGCTTGGATGTTGCAAAGACAGCTGAGGGCAAACATTGAGCGCCCATGATAAGAGCTACTTTAGTAGAGTTGTCTGATGCAATATGGATGCGAAGTCTGGCCCAGAGTGGAGCCCAGAGTGGAGCCCAGAGTGGAGCCCAGAGTGGAGCCCAGAGTGGAGCCCAGAGTGGAGCCCAGAGTGGAGCCCAGAGTGGAGCCCAGAGTGGAGCCCAGAGCTTGAGAGAAATAACCAATGCAAACAATTCTAGACAATTAATGGATAGGTTCACATCGATGGTGTGTGAAGGCCAGGTAGTGTGGAAATTTGATTCACTTTGACGACATCACAACCAGTAAGGCATTTATGTACGAGACACTGTCATGTGTAGATCATGGTTTAGTGAGGATCCTGGAGGCCATTGTACTTCTGGAAAGTCTGCCACCAAAGCATATCAAGTCAATCAAATGCATGAATGCTTGCAGAACTTAACGGAAATGTCATGAAGGATTTACAGACTGCCATTGCTTGCCCAGCCTATGTCGAGAGAAGACACCGAGTGTTGAAACCCCATTTCTAGCTTGGATAATTCAGCTTTAAGTCTCAAGCCTGGCTCCCAATATTGCTTTTTTTCCCGTAATGCATCAATGTCCATCGATAATGAACTTAATTCGCTGACCAAACATTTTTTCCTTGAGCTGTGTGGGCGAAACGAACAATGGAGACCCCTCAGTCTCGTCAAGTTCAGGTGTTCCATTACAGTGTTTTCTTGGTTTACACCAATAGTGGTCCTTAACAGGTTGACAACAGCCAGCACACTTGTTTTTCTTTTTATCTGAAATGTTGAGATCGCCAGTTATTGGGGAAAAGCTGCCATGTGCCACCCTTATATTACTTCATTTAGGTTGAGAACAAGTGAACAAGTAAAATAATAATGAGCATAACTCTTGCTGAGCTGATAAAAACAATATTGCGCAATGTCCAAGTAACTTGCGTTCTCTGGATAATGATATAGCCAGATGAGGGACCAAAGTTCAATGATGACATAACATCCTTGAGTGTTATTTTGCAGTTTACATTGGATCTCGAATCATATTTGTTGTTATCAATGCTTTCATATTGGAACTTGTATTAAATTTTACTTGCAATAACATTGATATTATTGATATACACAAGTGTAAACCTGACCCCACACAGGATATGCTTGGGCACTTTAATTTCCTAATTGCACTTTCTACTGATTTTTGACGAATAACTTTATATTTATGAGTATTATTAGTTATGTTGTTCACACTTAAGGTTTATGATGGGCATTATCAAAATTATTGATGCAACTAAATCCTTGACAGATCATTGACCTCGCAATCAATTTCATTGACACGCTATATTCCATACCATACATGTACAAACTCAAGAACATTATAAACGTCATTAAAGTGCGTTGAACCATGCCATATATGTTTATGTTCATTGATGTGACAAACCAGAGAACACTTTTCTGGGCATTTTAGTGGTTATGGACCTAATCCAGTCAGAATAAGATTCCAGCTCCAACTCCCCACAAGGTTGATATCAGTGACATGGTGTTGCATGATACAGGGAGTTTCCTGTGTGTGTGTACTATTTATGGAATTGTTGTCCCAACTGATTGAGAATGCGTCCCTTGTTTAAGCTATTTGGCATGAAGTGTTTCACATACACCAAAAGATTTAGTAAACTACTTGCCTACCCACAGAATTTTCGTTTCATGTTGGTGAATTCCCCTATGTGCTTGCATATTAGAATAATGTTCTGATCTGTACACCAAAAAAGGAAGTTCACTGTCAATTTCTGGTGCGATAGTGACTTTGTCCCCAACCTTTAAGAGGTAGGCAATTTTGTATTGCAGGAGATCTGTGCTCTCTGAACTGAACTGAACCGCTTCTCTTTTCTTCTTTGAAATTGTGAATTTGTGTTCAGCTGCTCAAGAACCCTCTGTTGATCCATCACATGTGCTGTATCAACAATATTTGACATTGTCTGGAATGACTGCCTTCCTGACCACCCAGTGGTCAGGTTTGGCCCACCATTGTAGAGCCTTCCTACACTGTTGTCAACTCAAACCTTAACTCAAGGTAGACCATGATCACTGGATAGGCGAGCCATATGGTTGAGGTATCAATCCCATCAGACAGACGTGTTCCAACTATCAGTTGTTGCCTCCATTCATGTAGCCATATATTGTGCACGAACCTCGTTTCTGACAACTCAAAACGAGTTGTTACAAAGGCATCTAATTGTGACTTTCCAATGACTACAAACCCAAAGCACATGGGGGGAGGGGGGGTGAGACTTAACCAGATGCATTGAAATTTGTAGGAATGTATCTAGATTGTCAACAGTTCTCAGGCCTAATGAAGAGTCACTTGTATGCAAACTCAGTTTCAAGCGAAGGCAGTTAGGCCCCGAGTTATAGCATGCAACTCCTAATGCAGCATTACGATGAAATTTCCCAGCGACATTCCTGTTGAGACTTGTTACTTCAACTGCTACCACTTCCTGTTCGTTGGTGACCAGTTTCGCTTACTGTGTTGATCGGTGTACGACTTAGTTTGAGTGACAAGTCTCAGCAGGAACGTCACCGGGCAATTTCCATGCAATGCAGCACGAGTGCATTACATGCTATAAGAGTCTCTTGGGGCCTCTACAGCCCTGGCTTTGTTAAAACGCCTATGGTGTTTGACAGGCTCTCTGCAGCCATTTTGGTACTTGTTTGATGAGAGTTGTGATTTGGTGTTAACAGCCAGCCCAGAATATAGAGAAAACAAAATTTATAAGAGTCTTGCCCCTTTCTATTACCCAAAGTCTTATTTGATAGTTTCCGCCTCATTTTCCAAATTGTGAGAAGCAGTCAGAAACATGAAGCTTTAGAACTGTTGGCAAGACTTTACGTTTACAAGGTTAAACTGATGCGTCCGACTCAAACATATGGAGAGTTGAAAATTACAAACAAATCTGATTTTGATACTATTGAGCCTTAATTGAAGCACTAACATTTTTAGATGTCTACAAGGATCGTTTATTATGCACAAAATCTAAACACCAGGGAGTCCATATATCACGGCAGTCAACATTTTGAACATTATCTGGGTTCAATTAGCCTTTGAAGTAAATAGGATCATCAAAACGCATTTTCGTACTTTGCTCCCTTAGAGGGAGCCACCAATTTAAATCACAAACACAAATTTGTTTTGCTTAAACGTGCAGTTGTATCACTGCATGTACATTAGCTGTTTGACCCTTCACTCAACTTTTGCATCCACAATAAAAACGACCAAACAATAGAAATTAACAGGTCTCTATTCATACAATGTACTCTATATTCAAATCAATGATATGGCTAATTGTACTAGATACACTACTGTAGAATACTTTTATTTTCGCTTGGAATTTATTTTCGCTGAAGGGATGATTCCGTGAAAATAAAATCCAGCGAATATACTTTTTTTCCTATATTTCACATTAAACTCATCAAATATCAGTGAAAATAAATTCCATACAAAATGCCCAAAAAGTCTTTTCAGCGAAAATTAATTCCAGCGAAAATAAAGTATTCCACAGTATGTTACAGGATATGGTTTTGCTAAAGATTGTAGTTTTTTAATTTCCTATGCTTTTATAATCAGACCAAATTTAAAAATATTTTACAGCAAAAATGGATAGGGAAATACATAAAAGGGCAGGAACAAAAAATTTCATTTCACTGACTGTCCTAAGATGTACATAGATTGAAATCCTGATCGAAGATTTAGAAAAACATTGAGTACATAATTACTGCAGTGATCAATGCACAACTGGGTCAGCATTTTGCCTTGCATACAAACTCCCATACTTTACATTCTTTGTAATGGGACTCCTAGGTGACTAATCAAACCAGTTTGTAATTTACCGGTAAAATGTATGCACATTAAAAACTTTTCAAATAGTAATTTCACCTGCATAGCAAGTAGTCATTGGTGTTTTGCAATGCTAACACAATTCCACAGAATAGCTAGAAATTTAATATTTTAAAAAACTTGCTGAAACACAAAAATGTGGGATCAATTCTCCACTTGCATCATGTACAGCAATAAAATCTTGCTACAAAAGGACAACCAATATTTTTTTTCTAAGAACTGATTACATGACAATTCCCAAACTGAAAGACTTCAAGAGTTCAACTGCAATCATGTGAAAAGGTTAGTAATTTTAAAATATCAATATTCATAAAGTCTCAAGATAACACTTAAAATGAGCTCTGGGTTTAAAAAATCTCCAAACCTACAAAAGCATGCATTGATGAAACAAAGCGTTTTCCCGAAGATGCAAACAGCACTATGTTTTGTTTTACTACTAAAATGATCTGGACAGCCAGACAATATCCAGACAGACAGACAGCGATTCATCTCTAATGCGAGATAGCATTTTGTTTTGAAGTCGGCAAAGTAGCTGAAAACTTGAGTA